ATTTTTCAGTTGTTCATGAGCGCTTCTAGTGAAGGGGTACAGGCAGATGGAAAAATAAAATAAAAGAAAGACTAGGCGTTCTTGTCTTGCAATCACTTTCAAGAAAAGTAACTCTGTAATCCAACGTACTTGAAATTCGTACGGTATGAATGTTGGGACATGGGGATTTTATTGGGAGCAATTAAAAGATTTTACCCAAAATTTTCTCTGTATCTACTAGTAGGTGGTATTTAAGGAGATCAACGGCATATTTGTCGGGAAACTTATAGTCATGACTCCAAGGAATGAGGCGCTTCTCGTGAAACTTTTCTACCAGGCAGGTAACACCTCTGTTCCAGTGCTGTGAGACTTCTTCAGTAACCCGACGTCCTGCAGTGCGTCAACTGCTTTCCGTCTCGTCAGGAAAAAAAAATTGAAGACTGGGAGCGTTGTTGAGCGTTCTGGGCAGGTCTACCAAGCACGCCTCTCGAGGTCATAGATATGACATCTCTGTCATGCTCAAAAATATCATTCACATAGCTGCCATCCCAAAGAACATGCTTATGTCGGCAGTTTGCAATGTCAAAACGTGTATTGATTTCATTTTCATTCAGGTCGGGTGCATATTGAACAGTTGAAGTTCCATGCCGCGCCACCTGTTTTCGCTACTGCATTCACATCCCCATGACTCCATATCTTTACCCTGTGAATTTCTATGTGAAATGGATACGCTGTAAATGTGGGGACTTCTCGGAAGTGATTGCAAGACTTTATGACCACTCTGCAGTTGAAGCAGTTATTGATAAGAAGTCCAGAGGAGTGGTGACGGGGGAGGTACTTCTCTATGATATTAAATCCAGGCGAGACACAGGGAGGAATCCATCTTCGCCTCCAAGGGCATAACGATAAATATGGCGTTCCTCAGCTTTCACTGCTGTCCTGCTTTAGAGTGACGAACTCCTCCCACGAACTCCTTCTATGAGATTAGTGCAGGATATACTTTGTCCTGTTGCTGCCCTAAAATCAAATGAAGTTATCACCAAGATGAATTGCAAATACTTCCCTAAAATGCACTTTGGAAGAAAGGAAATGTGCACAAATGTAATGTGACTTGAAATATTATCTACAGGTATAAAGTATACAGTGAAGCGATTGGTCTCATGTCAATGTCTACAATGAGTGATTTTGACTTTAACATATCCATTGTAAAGGTGGCAATTAGTATTGTATTTTCGACACTGGTATTTTCTATTTCATGGCATGATGAAAGGTTTAGGTGGTAAATGTGGATGAAAAGTTGCAGAGGGCTCCAGCTTCGAATATCAGCTTCACTCAGAGAAATCGGTAAATCGAGATGAAATACTTCTCTCAATTTTCGCGTTTCGATTTATTTTTCTCAAGAGAAAAAGACATCAACTGGATTTTCGATTTATATCTCTTGCTTCCCGACTGTGCATGAAAGGCGTTCGCAAAACCAAAATGCGTCTATAGCCGAGTCGGAAGGGTGTTTTGAGTGGCTGCTCATCGTCTAGACACATGTTAACCTCCGTATTCCACTTCATCGTGCCGAGGAAGCCCCCCCCCCC